TGGGACGCACGTGCATTCAATGATATGGAAAGAGCAGCATGGTCACAACTTGTTCACACATCCCAGCTGAAGAACCCCTGGTCTAACAGCTTTGCAATGGTGGAAGCAGTGGTTCAGATGGGACACAACCTCCTGCTTGGCTCCTCCCTCTCATGGAAGAATTTAAAATGGAGCCTCCTACTCAGTTGATTAGTACGGGACTTTTCATACTGCAGGCTGGGAGGGACTCAGAGACCTGCAAGGGAGGTGAAAGCAGGTTGCTTGGACAGTCACATATTTACATGAGGGTCTTCAGAAGTGCAGGACGTCTCAAAATGTGGTGCAAGGGGCATTTGTCCCTGTTGCCCTTGCCAAGGTCACCACTTAGGTCTTCTCTACACTAGAAAGTTGAACTGTTTAAACTATATTGGTATAGTTAAAGTGGTACAATCCCCTAGTGTGGACACAGTTATATCAGTATAAAGGTTTTGGATACACGGATAGCTATTCTTGTAAGGTGTAGCTATTCCCATTTTTTTTTAAATAAAAAGTTTAGTTGTGACTAAATATAGATAAAAGTTATTCCTGGAGAAAAATTGACTGCTGCCATATTTTAGTTACATTTCAAAGATAGTAACTAATCTAAAATTACTGTGAAATTATAATCACTTTACTAAAAATAAAGTGCTGTTATTTGTAGACAGTTATTCCTAGCTGATAGGAAGCCAACAGAAATTAAATCTAACCTTTTCTGCTTGATTCTCTTTTTCTTTCTCTTTCTTTTCCCTTGTTTTTAAAGAAGAGAAGTGGCAATTAAAAATATGGTAGTACAAAAGAAGGGACTGATACTTGCAGGCCTTGTTAAGAGAAGATTCTCCTTCTAGCCATACTGCCAAAGTGTAGCTTGTGGGATCAGATCTTAGACTGGAAAAACAGAAAGTCTCATTCGTTTCAATAAAATGTTTTTGTTCGGGGAAAAAAAAAAAAAGCCAGAGGCATTAAGGGGTATGAAATTTTTAAAAGACGGTATTAGTGACATGACAAACTCAGGATGAAGATGCTGAGATATCAGTTCACTACTGTGACTGACAGAGTGTCATGGATTTGCACCGTGCTTTACTCCACACACAAGAAAAAGTCCCTACCCAAAGCAGCATAATTCAGATATATACAAAAGACTGCATAACATTTCAAATGCACGAACGTAGGGAGACTGTGTCAGTCCTGACATCAACAAAGAAAAGCCTTCACATGCAATTTGTGAGGTAAACAGGAATAATTTCCTTGTGTTGGCTGGACTGTTGGCTGTTACAGTGGGGTAATGTAGGCTACCATACTTAAAGGGACTGTTCCAGGACAGTGAGAAGATGTAGGTTATATTCCCTATTCTGTTCCAGTGTGATCATGGGCAAATCACTTAAGGGCTTTGCTGCATAGGGGTGGATTTAAGCATATGCTGCTTAAGGGCTTTGCGGAATCAGAGCCTATACCACTCTGTGCCTCAGTTTCCCTATTGTAAAATGGAGATAATACTACCTCTATCTGAGAAGGACACTATGAGGATACAATCATAAATTTCATGAGGAACTCAGATACTTTGGTAATCAATGCCATAGAAATGTCTTTAAAATTAACCAGCCCTGGTGAGGTTTGATCTCTGAGAGCAACGAGTCAAAGGCGATACAGTTCCTGACTTCTATGAACAAAGAGCCTGGAAATAAAATGACAGAAATCTGGATTAAACTGATAGTAACAAAGACATTAATTATAATAATTAATAATGTATTATGATAGTACCTAGGAGCCCCATTGCTCTAGATATTGTAACATACACACAGTAAATGATAGTCCCTGCCCCAGGCCATTTTACAATCCAGACAGGACAGACAATGGGTAGGAGACAGAACCTATTATCCCCATTTTACAGATTGGAAACTGAGGCACGGACAGATAAATGACCTGTCCAAGGTCACACAGAAATTCTGTGGCAGAGCTAGGAAGTGAACCCAGGTATCTTGAATATGACAGGTTGAAAAACAGGATTAATTTTTCACAAACAATTTCATGCAAAATGTGTATGCAGTGTTATTGTAGCCATGTTGGTGGGTGAGGTCATCGCTTTTATTGGACCAACATCTGTTGGTGAGAGAGACGAGCTTTTGAGCTTACACAGAGCGGAAGAAGAGCTCTGTGTAAACTTGAAAGCTTGTCTCTCTCACCAACAGAAGTTGGTCCGATAAAAGATATTACCTCATGCGAATTTATTTTTTTAAACTCAACATTTTAAAAACTGGGTCCCAGTCCAGGGCTTTAATTATGAGACCATCTTTACTCTGACATGCCTCAAATGTTACATATGTTCACAATCCACACAAATGCAGGACAATGAAAGTCACTTGTATTGTTATTCATTCCCTACGGGCCCAACTTTCAATGGTGTAGGATCAGGCAGTAGGGATGACATCCTGGCTTCCCTGAAGTCACTGGGAATGTTGCCATTGATTTGGATGAGGCCAGGATTTCACCCTAGGTTCCTTTGGTGGGACCATTTGGTGGTACCTAACACACACTGCACAGAAAACCGGTAAAATGGCCAGTGGATTCTACACTTTTTAGTACAAAGAAGTTTACTTTTGATGGGATTACAGCTAATTAAAATTTAAAATTCAAATTAACTATCTAAAAGGTCATCTTGAAAATCCGTAGGCATCTGGTATTTATCAGCTGACACACAACTAAAGATAAAGCCAGGAAAGCATGCCACCTTTCCAAGTGTCATGTTTCAGTCAATCCCGTACTGAAAGCAGGAATGAGGCAATGAGCAATTAGCACCGCCTGGGGAAAGTGATAATGCGTAATAAAAACTTGCTGCTCAAATCGATTTTTTAAAATATAAATTTCTAACCTCTTGAAGGGATTGCTTCTTTAACCCTACAGCGCGTATGGAAGGCGTGCTCCATAATCTTCCTGCTCTCAGACACAGACCAAACTTTGTGAAAGCCTCTTAAATGACTCTTTATTTACTTGCAATCAAAGCTGTCTAGGTCAAAATACACCGCAGGGGGATGAGCTCAAGTTCGCATCATAATTATTCTAAAATCTACATGTAATGGATGACTAAATTAGCCCTATTTTATGACAGTCACCTGATCCAATCCTAGCCACATGTCACGGATTACAGATTTGTGCTGTTAGTTCTTTACCAGCAGGCACGATTTAACTGTGCCCAAAAGCATCCCTGCGATCATCTAGACAGGATACGACGGGAATGTACGCATACAAGCCCGTTGCGTTTCACATTTATAGCGAACCCACTAGGCAAACAAAAAGTTCCCAGCCCGAGAATTGAAAGTTGGGGCTCACTGCTTGATCCCGGTGCGAATGACTGTAATGGCAAAACATTCTTGCTTAAAAATCAGGAGCGTGTCCACATTCCTTGTGTAATATAAAGACTCGGGCGAAGTCCCTGCTTCGCTGTTGGAAAACAGGGGGCAGTTTCGCAGCGAAGCGATGACCAGTCCTCAGGACGACGGAAAGGAATCACCACGACTCCCTGCGACGGGAAATGGATCGGTCGTTAGGAAACCGCTCCCGGGGAAAGTGACTTTCGGGTCGCTGCCTCCTGGGCTTGCAGCACGTTGTGTTGCAGTTAAAGGAGCTCTGGTTGGCATCCTGCTCTCGGGGTGCGGGGGGGGGGGGAAGATCCTTTCCAGCCATGATGAGAGCACATTTCCCTGCCAGAGATGATCTCTCCCTCCCCCTCTCCAGCACAGCCCGGCCAGGAGCTGGCGTTGCGTGCCAGGCCGGGGAGCGCCCCGCAGCACCTTCTCCTCCCCCCGCAAGCCCAGCCACTGCAGCAGCGTGGGACAGCGAGCGCACGATCTCGCGGCACATGGCCGAAGCAGCGGGCGGCGGGGCAGCTGCCGCCCGGAGCAGAATGCGGGCAGGCCGGGGAGGGGGGCAGCGCTGCCGCCGCCGCCTGGGGGCTGGCAGCGTCAGGGGCCGGAGCCGGGAGCGCGGCTGGGGCTATTGTGTGCACTAGACAGGCAGGGGGAGACACACACACACACACACCCCGCTCGCTCAGAGGGAAAGTATCGCGAGAGCGGCTGGCTAACAACCTGCTTCACAACACAAGAGCGCTGCTAGGCTGCCAGCAACAGAGCCCGGGGCTCCTGTCCGCCTCCGGCTGCACGGTCCCCGGCGCCGCCAGCCACATCTGGGGCGGCTGGAGGGGGGGGCAACCCCGCACGTGCGGCCGCGGCCCGGGGGCCGGACGCTGAGCCGCCAGCAAGACAGGCTGGTAAGTAGCCAGCAGCGGTGCCTTCCCTGCCCCCCTTCCCGGGCTGGGCTGCACCCCCCTCTGCCTGGGGGCACCCTCCTGCCCTCCCCCCCAGCCCCTTGTGGGGGTGGCTCTGTCCTCTCCAGGGCATTTGCCCCCCCCCAACACCCCTCCCCCGAGCCTGCCCACAAAGGGAAAGTCCAGGCAATAGTCCCATAAAGTTATGGGGGGTTGGGGGAGCCGCAGCTTAACGAGCCCGATCGCCACTCGGAGCCTCCTCTCCCCGGTAAAGTTTGCGAGCTGCGCTGGAGCTGGGAACTTCTCCCGGCAAAGGTCAAACGGGCTCCCTCGTCCCTCTGCGCGGCTGCAGCAGCAGCGGTGGGATTGTTATTAAGCAACTTTCCCAGTATTATTCTTTGGGGGAGGGGGGGAGAGGCAGAGCCAGGGGAGGACGCGGTTTAAGTTTATGGGATTTAATAGATGGCTATAAATGGGGTTGCTGGAACTTTAAAAGGCAGCAAGCTGTGGTTGGCTGGTAGCTAGATTTGGAGTAACATATGGCATTAAAAGGAGCACAGCTGGAGGTAGCATTTCCATCGCAGTGAAGTCAGAGCAGCTGACTCTCCAGCTTGCAGTGTAATTAGCAAACCGAGCACTCCCTCCCTCACTCGCACACTCTCCTCTCTCGCACACGCACTCACCCGCCTGCTATTCTTCCGCTACTGCCGAGCAGCACCATCGCCGCCTTCGCCCGGGGTGCCCTCTCCCACCGCAAACTTGGGCGCCTCCAGGAGGGGCTTTTTTCCCCATGCACCCCTCAATCCCTGCGTGGCAGCCGGGTAAGGTGAGCCGCCTTGTTGGATCTCCCTGCTTGGAGCTGTTGCCGCAGGTAGTTGGACTTGTAGCCTCACCGCATTTCTCTCGAATTATTGGTTTGCTTTTAATAACTTTTAGGGCAGTAAACTTTGTGTGTGTGTGCGGGCTTGATTCATAGGACCTTTCTCCTCCCACCACACCCTCCCCCAAATCCGTGAAGTGTTCAAGCTCCTTTACTAGTCCAAGCAATGAATGAGTGATCTATTATTTAATGTAAAATGATTGCGCATAAAGTTAAGTGTGGGGGTGGATTGATTTGTTTGTTTCATCAAAAGAACAAAACTGATGCCCGGAGTTATGCATTTCCAGGAATGCATAAACTGCTGGGTTGTCTCTTTTCTCTCCCCCCCCCCCCCCCCCCAGTTTGTTAGTGAAAGAGACAAAGGTTGGAGGTGCTGTTTCTTTAGAAGCTTTTGTTTACTTACAATCAAGTTTTTCCTGTTTGGAGCAGGTGTTGAAGGATGAGAAGCATGTTGGCTTTCTTTGTTTTAAATAAAACTATTCTAGACAACGAACAGTAAACGTTATCTCCAAGGCTGTTTCTTTGGCTTGTATTACCCAAAAGCCAATCTGTTTGTTACAGCTGCTAGGAGGCTTTAGTTTATAGTAGCATTCAAGTTTTTCCTGTTTTGAACAGGTTATGAAGGAAGAATGGAGTTTCCAGACCATAGCCGCCAGTTACTGCAGTGTCTGAGTCAGCAGCGTCACCAGGGCTTCCTGTGTGACTGTACTGTTTTAGTTGGAGAAGCTCAGTTCAGAGCCCACAGAGCTGTTCTTGCTTCTTGCAGCATGTACTTCCATCTTTTCTACAGGGACCAGTTAGACAAAAGGGATATTGTGCATCTGAACAGTGACATTGTCACAGCCCCAGCCTTCAGTCTGCTGCTTGAATTCATGTACGAAGGAAAGCTGGAGTTTAACAGTCTTCCAGTTGAAGATGTGCTCGCTGCAGCGAGCTACCTTCACATGTATGACATTGTGAAAGTCTGCAAGGGCAAGTTGAAAGATAAAGAATTGTGTTTGGAAGAAAAGATGAATGATGATGTGGCTAATTTGGAAAAAGAGGAGCATTTTTTAGACACGGGAGTGCCCCTGGTACATGAGTTTGACCCGGGACACAAACAAAAATTCACTGTCGCAGAATATGATAGATCAACGAATAAAGATAGGATCAGTGGTCACCCCGGCTGGTCCTCTGATCTTATAAGTGTCAGCTCTGTGTCTGCAGAGGCAGAATCATGTACCACAGCAGCTGGAAAAACAAAGGCTACTGTCAATAGTTCTGCAGGATCTTTGTCCCAAAGGTCTGTTAACCATACCCCGGCTTCAAGTGATGTGGACTGTGCTCTGGATTTGTCTTTCAAGCCTGTGTCTGGGAGAGATTCCTTACACCCCTCCTACGTCTTTGGACAGCTGGCTTCCGACAGCCAGCAGCAGGGTACTGAGCCACTTGTTAAAGATGAACAAGACTTGCTGTCAGATCAGGAGGACAGTGAAGCAAGGAGTCCAGAGAGTCAGCATTTTGGGAATTCAGCCAAAAGCCTAGTGACAGGGTTAGGACACATGTTCACAGGAAACGGCAATTCTCATGCAAGAGAAGATGATATAGATCAAGACCGAGATGAGAGTGAAGATGACATGGATTCATCAGATATCTCCTCCTCTGGTGTGCTTGTGCCTCCTGGGCATATCTGCATTTGCCCCCTTTGTAGCAAAGTTTTTCCAAGCCCACACATCTTGCAGCTGCACCTGAGCTCTCACTTCAGAGATAAAGATGGCTCAAGGACCAGGTTGTCACCTGATGGTTCGGTGCCCACCTGTACGCTTTGTGGGAAGACTTTTTCTTGCATGTACACCTTAAAGAGACATGAAAGGACTCACTCGGGCGAAAAGCCTTATACCTGTGCCCAGTGTGGAAAGAGCTTCCAGTATTCCCACAATCTCAGCCGTCACGCAGTAGTGCATACCAGAGAGAAACCCCATGGCTGCAAATGGTGTGAAAGACGATTTACACAATCCGGTGACTTATACAGACACATCCGTAAATTTCATTGTGGCCTCGTAAAGTCCTTGGTGGTTTGAGACAAGATTTTGTTGTTGTTGTTGCTAATGTAATGTGTGGGGTTTTTAAGGCAGCATCTGATTTTCTTTTTTTACCGATATCCACATCAGTTAATGATGTTGAAAGATGCTTAAGTATACACTTCAATGGCCTTTTTGCCACAGCCGCCTTTTTTTCCCTGTTCCCCTCCCTCCTTCCGCCCCCCGGTTGTCTGTTGCGCACCCATGTTACATTATTTCCAAGTTAGTAGAGTGAAAATGATTTAAGTACTTCTTCAATGATTTTGGCTTCTATTTTTCATGCTGGAAGTACTTGCTTTGTGTTCACCCCCTCCCCATTTCAAAAAAGATTGATAACGGAATTGGAGAAATACTCCAAGATTTACTTAAGTCCCCTAAATGCTATCTGTGTATTTCATGACAACACAAGAGCTGAACTATAGCTTATTTGATGCGTCTGAGGGAATCTGCTCACTTAACTCCATGTGTCTCAAGATGAGACCTACAGCCTTTTCAAGAAGTAGGCTTAAATTGGCCCAGTTTTTTAAAGAGGTTTGAGAATTCCTTGAATTGTACTTGCATATCTGGTACAGTTTGGCTTTTGATTTTTACTACTGTATCAGAGTAGTTTTGCAATCAATCCTAAAATCTGAATGAAAAGCCTTGCATACAGACTTGGCATACTCAGAAGGAAAGTTTTAAATTTCTTTCTCCCCATCCCTCCTCCAAGGACTATTATTTGTTGAATAGCACTGAGCTGCTTTTGAATTTTAAAAACTGGGTAGAAACATGTTTCTATCTGCACTATATTCACTCCTTAGCTGTTGAAGGATACGCACTAGAGTAAACGTGTAAACTCATGTGATATATGAACACATTTCCATCCCTGTCTCAACAAACAAACAAACACAGGGACCAATCCTGCTACTGCTGGGGAAACGTTACTTCAGTGAGTAAACTCATAGAGGGTGCAAGATTGGGTCTGTAATATGTGCCATAACCTTGCTCAGACATTTGGGAATGGATAAAAGTATACAACAACTGCAGAGGCTGGTGAAGGAAACGAAATGGCTGAGCAGCTAGTTAGGAATTGATGACCAGTATTCTTAAGAGGAAATTGGTCAGTGTAATAATATGTGACAGTCAATCTTTTTTTGTTTGTTTGTTTTTTAACGGGGATTTCTGATTTGTTCAGGATACCTGTAGCATCTTTTGGTACATTTAGTAAAATTACAATTTTTTTTGAATTGCCTTTTTTTAAAGAGAGGAAGTTTGGATTTTTTTTTTTTTTTAAATGGCTTATATATTGTTAAAGTTGGCAACTGCCCTGGGCCAAGTTCTGTGGAATTCTACTGATTTCTTGGGTAGCACAAATGCAAGCCAGCGGAGGGGCTTGGCCCTGCTAGTTTCACACCAGCCGAAGAAAATATTAACTTTCCCATTTTCCTAAAATTTAGACCATCTGTAATTATAACCAGTTAACTGAATTACTGTATTTGGAATTCCATATCTGCCTAAGAGAACACCCTTTGGTCTGTGCATGTCCGTAAATATCAGATTATGCCTCTCCAGTTAAAGCATCCGTTCAAGGTACACGCACATACAGAACTGAATTCTTATGACATCTGTGCTTTTGAATTTCATTTTTCTGAACTGAATCTTTTTTTTTTTTAAATTAAGAAAAAAAGTTACTTTGTCAAGTTTACTGACACTCCTGGAATGGTTTCTTGAAGTTCAATCATTTTATTTTTAAACGAATTTGAAGCACTGAAGTGGATTCTTCTAAATACTGTACTTCAGAATATCGGATTTCATCCCAAAAGAAGGAATTGTCCAGCATTTCCCTTTACATGTATTAAGTAAGCACTACTACCTATGTGGTTTCAACAGTGTAATTGTGATATTGATCTATTGTGAAAGTACTTTTAAAAAAAAATCAGGACTTCATTTGTTGTGACCTCCTCCTTATTCATCTCTTAAACTATGAATGTACATGTAATGTGAAATTTTACTTCTACTCTTAGTTTGTTCAGACTAATTTCTTTGCATTACTGTAAAATATTTTTGCTGAACCTGTTACATAGGAACATGTGGGAGAGCACTGTATGTGTAAACAGATGTAGCTTTTGTTCTTTTGTCTTATTTTTTTTTTTTTTTTTTTTTTTTTTTTTGCTGTGATTGGAAATAGCACTGAACAAAAATCTACTAAAATTAAGTTATTTTTTTTCTCCTGATGATACTTGATATAGTATTTATTAGAATTTTTTGAAGTGGAATTATTACTGTTAAACTATTTCAAAATAAGTTAATCTATGCTTCACCTTAAATCTTACACAAACTTCTGTACATGCTGTAAAGTGAACAACTAATACAGTAGTGGTATTATCTAAACTAGCAATATTTTTTTTTTAATTTTCATTTTTTGCGATACTGCTGTTGCATTTCACTCTTCACTTCCTATTCTTATATATTTTTTTTAAAAGAACAAATATCATAAATTGTGCCATAAGACATCATTAGTACGGGGGCAGGGGAAAGTCAAAACAAGTTTGCATCTGACTTTAGTCTAGAAATAACTCACTAAACTAATGCTATGAGCATGCTCTGTACTGCATTGAAAATGGGGTAGGAGTAAAAGATATAACAAGCTGTGGTGGTTTTTTTGTTTTGTTTTGTTTTTATTTTTTGTCCTTTGCTCATAGCTTAGTATTTTTCTCCCCAATTTAATAGCTTGAATTTCTAAAGTAAAGATGTTTGCACTTATTTTTATTTTAAAGTGACTTTTTTTTTTAAAGTTGCAATAGCTTTGAGCATGTCTTCAAAAATGGTTCATTACAGAGAAGTACTAAAAACATTGCACACTTATGTTTGTTTTCATAAAATATTTCACTGTGGGGGAGTTACCTTCTCTGTAGAGAATAGTACTGCTCTAAATTTTAAACACTGGATTTGTCTTCTACTACAAACAAAAACTGTGAAGTTAATGTAAAAAAAATCATCAATATTTTTAATTGTTTTTAATCTTGTTGCAGTTCAGATTAAATATGTATATTTAAAGACACTAATTTTGTGGGAGAGTTTTATAGTATACAGTATGTAGAAAAGCTATTGGAATGGAATATATTTTATAAAAATGTTCTATCACTGTTTTATAGTGAACTATTTTTTTTTCCCTTCAGTGTTAGTACTATACTGTTTAGTCTAGATACGACAATCGCGTACAGAGTGACTTAAGGAAAAACTATTGTTAGCGCTTAGTATTTTTGTGTGGCGTTTTGTTTGCAACTATATTGGTATGTGCTGTAAAATGTGACAATCGTGATTAGGATTGTTGTCTTTATAAATTTACACAAAATAAAATGTGCTAGAGTTGTACATCGAGCCCTTTCGCTCTTTAACTGAACTTTTAAAAATCTATACGTGATCATGGTTTCACTGTTTCACTGTCTCTTTGAATGACACACTACTTTTTCAGGGCCACTTGGATTTTTAGACACTTGAGGGAATTGCAATTTTCTTGTCTGACAGGGATATAGACCCAATGTTTAATCCATTACCCAGTCACTGAGGAAAACTAAATATTCACACCTTGTTCTTCTGTTTTGATGTCCTAATCATACTGAACTTAATTCAAAGCCTACTGATATCCGTGTGAACCTTTCCACTGACTTGAATGAGATTTTTGGATCTGGCCCATTTTTGAGCAACTCTGCAGTATATGCTCTGTGTCTAGAGCTGTTTGCTTCTATTGGAGACATGGGTACCTATCCTGCAAATGCTCAAGGATTTAAGTAACTCTACTCATACGGTCCAATTGACTTGAATGAGACTTCTCCTGCATAACTTTATTCAGGTGGGAGTAGTCTCACAGAAGTCAATTGGACTACTTACGTGAGTAGTTACTGATGTGTAAGTATTCACAGGATTGGGGCCTTAAGGTCTGAGCCTATTCCCACTGAAGTAAATGTAAACGCTCCTTTCAGTGGGAGTTGGAATTGGGCCCTTTAAAAAAGAAAACACAAGTTGGACATGCTGGCTGCCTCTGAAGAGACGAAATAAGCTGTGTTTTGCTATATTCTGAAGGACCCAACCAGGGACAGAAAGTTTGAAAGAACTGGTATTGCAGAGCTGCAAGTAAGGAAATCATAATATTTCAGGGAGGCAGGGAGCATGTTTTGCCCTTTCTTTTGCTGTAATATCTTTATTGCGAAGTCTCTCATATTGTATTCGAGCACATTTCCTGCCTTGCAGCGCTTCAGTACCTCCTGTCTCGCTCTGTAGGGAGGATAGAATGCTGTTGGAGAGAACTATCATTCCTACGGCACCCGGCTGTGATGTGATGAAGTGTTGGCAAGTTCTGTATAATTTTATTGGATGTGTAGCCACCGCTAGAGGTGAGTGAGTGTCTGTTGGTGGGATTCTTACAGCTGTCTGTATCCATTGTTTTCTTCTGTCCCTAGCCTTCTGAATACACTTGCAGATACAGACGTTTGTTTTCTAGATGCAAACTGAACATATCCTATTTTATTGCTCTTCTGTACAAAAATACCTTCCTTTGAGGGATGGTAGACAGAGGAGAAGTGTTTTTATTAAACTTGCAGCTGACCCTATAAAGTAGATGATCTGCAAACATGCGTCAGACAAATATTTCCAAACTGAAGAAAGCAGCACTTTTTAAAATTTGGCTTGGGCATACTATGGCCATTTTATTTATGCCGGTTAAAAATGTTAAGGTATCCTAGTACTCCAGATCTTGGTGCCTATTGCTTGATAACTTATTAAATTTTAAGATGTAGCTATGCTGCCTGAAATACATAGCAAATGTCACGCTTTTCCACTATCAGAAGACTCAACAGATTCTAAACAAAATAGAAGGGAGGAGAGGGACATGCATCAGAGTGGCTGCTGGGTTTTGATATCTTTTGAAAGATGGACTTGCTTAGCTATCGATTCAGTCCTGGAAGGTGCTACGTTTCTTTGAGGTGCCAACTGCCTTCCACTCGGTAGCTCGTAGGCTGTCCTTAAGCCTTACAGGGTTGGCCCATATATTACGTCAAACAAAACTACACGGAAAAGCAAAACACCTTGGTACCAGACACCTAATGTTGTATGTCCAGCTGTGAAGTTCACACCACCACATGTCACAATGCAGGCCAGAGACCACTGCAACCACAAAGAAATGGCTTTGTGCTCTTTTGACCGATGTGGCACAGGAGAGGATATAGCAGCCCAAATATAGCTACCAGCATTTTGCTAATCATCGGTTGTTTGGAAGCAAAGTGCTATAGGGGGTTTTAATCATGTGGGTTCTCCATTAGCGTCTTGGATTCTAGATTGTGAGAGGTGGCATCTATGGTTGGCCAAGCTTTTAGTCAAAACAATACTTAATTCTTTTTAATACAAACTAAGCATCCAGGCCTCATGATGTGACGAAGTACTGTCCTTTTGACATTGGAAGCACACCTGAGCAACATCGTGCAACTTGTATGAGAATAAACCAAATTCCTGGCCTAAAGTACCAAAATCTGACTGATTCAATCATTCTCAACATTGGCCTTGATAGGTCGAAAGTCAGTAAATACTGATCTGAGGCAGGAGTTGTCTGCTGGGTAATTGAACTTTTCTACTGAATGTGTAGGAATGGCTATCTCAGTAATGCCATTCTGCTTACTGGTCATGGGGCTTAGATATTGCTGTCTTGGACTGCAATTGCCACTTCTTTCCAAATAGTCTTGTGGGTATTTTTTGTTCTGCTCTAAGTATTCTTGAACATAATATGAATCAGCAGCTGTTATCTAAGGGAAGCTGTGGCAGGTGTGACCCAGAGGAAGTAGTGTATGTAGGACAAAGCTGGTATCAAGTAAAATGGAGTCAACAGTGCAGTTGGCCTATGAAAACGTTTTGTGCTCGAAGTATAAGGATTGGTAACAGCACCATTGCTAGCCAGCTTAAAGAACAATTTGTCTTGAATCGCTTCTTGTTTATTCTGGGGAGGGCCTGGCTGCAAGTGCAGAAGATTAAGCAAGTTGGTGCAGAGCTGCATCTTTCATAATGATGGAGAGACTCTGGTTTCTTACTCATTTTTATTAATGTAGAATGGGGGTGGTGAAACACTGCCGAAGAATGCAAAGCACTGTACATACTGGTAACCTACGTGTCTGAGGTTGTAAAGTTCTGATTGGCTTCTGACTAGCGCCTTTCATCCAAATGAAAAATATTTGCT